AGAGGACCCTGAAGGGGCACACAGACTCTGTGCAAGATATTTCCTTTGACCACACTGGCAAACTCTTGGCCTCCTGTTCTGCTGATATGACCATTAAGCTATGGGATTTCCAGGGCTTTGAGTGCATCAGAACTATGCATGGTAAGGTATAAAGGGATTGATTTAGCAGTCTGTAAAGGGAAGAGATTTTTTCTTTTTAATCCAGGAAAACTGCTGATGTGGAAAGGGGTTGTAGACCAGAGTATTGTCCAAAGGAAAGAGGGGGGATGTGTTGATGCTTTGAGTGCCCTGTAAATAAGGGATACATGTGGTGTCTGTGGAATGAAACAGCATCTCAAATCTGCTATGCACGATGCTGCAGGAAGCATCCCATAATGATATTGGAATGAAGTGGCAGTTAGAGGGATTTAGCAATAAAGATTAAATGCTTACTAGACAATAAAACTGCCTTCAAATCAGGACCAGATTCCCTCCTCCAGCCCTGTGTGTCCCATGGCTGCAGGAAGGCAACAGTGGGTGCCAGAGGAGTCTGACTGCCCTTTGCACTGGGCTCGAAAGGCACAGGAAAACTGGGAAAGTACAGCCACCACAGCTATAAGATTCCAATATTGACAGCAAATATTTACTTTATAGTCTTATGTAAAAGCATTTTTCTTGCTTTAATATTGTCTTGCAGAACTGGTGAGTAGGAACAGAGAATGTTTGAGGCTTAGGAAAGTAAGCGCGCACACACACCCCAGTAAGCAGCAGCTTTCAGGGATGCTCAGTATCTGGACTGTGTGGGCTCTCGAAATAGAGATGAGCATTTCATAAACACTCAGGTTTACATATAAAGATTATCCCATGAAGTATGCACTGCTGCTAAAGAAATGGCAAGTGCTGTGTGCTCTGAAGATTCTGCCAGTGCCACTTCACAAAGGTTTTGTTTTGTTTTTAGGTCATGATCACAACGTTTCTTCAGTAGCCATCATGCCCAACGGAGATCATATAGTTTCTGCCTCGAGGGATAAAACTATCAAAATGTGGGAAGTCCAGACAGGGTAAGTGCACTTGTGGTCGAGCAGCAGCAGCAGAACAAAGCGAGCAGAGAGCAGTGTGTGTAGAAATGGGCCCCAGGAATCCCAGTGTCAGCAGGCAGTGTCTGAACGAGGAGTGATGCGGTGCCCAGGAGGACTCTGCTCCGTCCAGGCACAGGGGCTTAGGTGCTACTACCAACTATTTAGAACTAACAGGTTTTGTCTTTCTGGGACTGTGAGGGTAGAGCACTAACTCAGGACCAGTTAGGAAAATAAGTTCACTGGTTAACCACAAGTTTAAAGGGACCATGAGATCTGTTGCCTCTCTTGAAACAGATCAAGGTGTTCTTTTTTTTATTCTTGCTGGTTTCATTCATCACTTGTCTCTTTAATACCTGAATGACCTGTAAATCTCTATTTGTTCTTAAAATACCTGTTTAATACAAGTAATGATGTCAGCCTCATGTTTCCCTGAGCTTCCTGCTTTCTGCAGGATTTGCTGGGGCTTAGCTGTCACTTTTGTCCCGTCGCCTTCCCTCCCATGGGCTGTGCGTGGCCCTGCCCATCCCCAGCCAGAGCACAGTGTGTCTGCCAGGGCAGGCGTGCTGGGGCTGGCGGGTGACCAAGCGGTGCGTGTGGCTCCGCAGGTACTGCGTGAAGACCTTCACGGGGCACAGAGAATGGGTGCGCATGGTGCGGCCCAACCAGGACGGCACCTTGATCGCCAGCTGCTCCAACGACCAGACCGTGCGCGTGTGGGTGGTGGCCACGAAGGAGTGCAAAGCTGAGCTCCGAGAGCACGAGCACGTCGTAGAATGCATTTCCTGGGCTCCCGAGAGCTCCTACGCCACCATATCGGAAGCTACGGGATCGGAGGTAACGTTCCAGGCACGAGCACAGACAGGAGATCTTTGTATGGCACTGGCAGCGCTGAGCTTTGGGCTTGGAGGGCCTGGCAGGTACAGCAGCGGCGTGAGTGCTGTTGGCTGTGGATCCCCATCTTGGCTTCACGGGGTCCAGATTCTGCTGGACCTGCATTTGCACTAGTGGAAGTGAGCTTTGCAGAGATGCTCTGGGAAGGGTGAGAGTGGGACCGCTGTCATGTGTGGCAGCAAAGAAAAGTGGAAGGCAGCTGCTCGGGCAGAATGTGAAGATTGTAAGGATGCTCAGCAATTGGAAGTTGGGGGGTAAGGAGTTGGTCAGGAATGCAGGATGAAGCTGCACTGTGCTGGAGTCAAGCTCCAGCTGCTGTGTCCTGCTGGACAGTCAGTGGTGGGAGAGAGCATCTCACAGAAACGGATTCCCATTTGTGTGATCCTCAAGAAAGGCTCTCTGAAGGCCAGCCAAATGTTCCTTCTAAGGGTGTCCAGGTGCAGAACTGAACTAGAAGTTGACTCCAGTTTCTAGTTAAACCCCCTGGCACTGCTGCCCTGCCCTCTGCCTCCAAAGGGCAGGGACACTCCGGGGGAGAGGCTGCTCCACGGAGCACAGGGGCTTGTCTGGGGATGGGTTTCACGAGTTACTTCTGTCAAATTCTGCTCGAATCCTTAAAGGATCCATACGGTCTTTGAACTGTGAGTAATTAAACCGGAATCCCTTCCCGTGGGTGGGAGGGCTCAGCCT